TTTGGTTAAAGTTTTTGCAGGGAATAATTTATTTGGAAAGAAACGAATACCTCAGAAAAATTACAGAAAATTTAGAGACAATGATACACAAGATAACTTTTCAAAGTTTTGATAAATGATTAACTCTTCTATAAATAGATCACTCGCTTCATGTATGAGTTGTATAATTTGCATTATTCATTGCATTTCATGCGTTATTTGATAATAAAATTACATCTGACAGGAGCTTAAAATTTTAAGCAATGTAATGCAAGGGAATTGAGCTAATTTATGCAAATTGCTTCTTTGTCTGAAAATTGTAAAGGATCTTGAGTATCTAGTGCATTTTCTATAAGTACCATAACAGTAGCATCACTTTCATTGGTTGCTGGGTTCAAAAATATCCATAGATAATAATTTCATTAGTAATCCTTTTACTTGTTAAATTCTAATTGATTATGTATTTTTTTATTTCATATAAAATGCTAACAATATTTTTGTATTATGTTTGATCTGCAGTAATAGTCGTTTTAATAGAAATATATTTTTTACGTCGCAGTAGAGCTTTACATTTGGATATACCCAATGGTCTGGGAAATATAGCTGAGGATTATCCAAAGACGTGCTGTCACAATTTTGATCCTGCAGAGGGGAAGGCTCCTCCGTTCTGGTAGCTTGATGATTTGTGCGAGAAGTCGAGCACGTTCAACACCTCCTAGAAAGGAGAAGGCCTCAGCACTGGGTTCCATAAGCAAGAAATTTGATCCTTTAGTAGTCATGACATATTTCGTATTTTACTGAGCAGCTTAGTAGCTGGAGCTTAGTGGCATCTTTCGTTTTTTTCATCCACTGCGCAGTTTAAGTTCAGTTCTTCGAACTACTAAATTGATCTGTGCTGAGGCCTTCTTTCTTCAAGGAGGTGTTGGCACGTTACGACAGGACAGTTTAACGAGGACTGATGCATCACGCTCTCGGTCTCTTAGCAGGCTTGTCAAAACACATTCACTGACCGCTGTCAGTGATACTTGATTTCCGTGATCTACTGGAGACAGTGTCTTACTATCAGTCCAATGTGGGACATGTTTGGTCTGAGAGTTAATAGTTCAACTTTATAATGGGGAAAATAAGTAAATAAACAACTTACGTAAAATGGTAAACATTTATTTTCGAGAATTAAGAACAAGTAACAAAAACTCGGTTTGGGCGTTTTCAAATTGGGTCTATTTTGGTGAGTCTTGACTAGCAATTATGTAGTTAGATGATTATATATAATGAAACTCACGTTACGGACACTCCTTCAAAACGGACGCCTCTGATTACGAACCTTATGAATGTATTATATTGTTTTACTCCAATTTTGAGCATCCTATTTTTGTTATATATCATGACAAGAGAATGGTGTATATGACAAGAAAAGAATGGGCTACTTTTGTGATTTCGTATAACTTCGAAAACAAGTATGAAGCGCAAATAAAAAAACAGAGTTAAGAAAGCAAGCAACTGTTTCGGTACTATATACATAGAGTTAACATGAGTTTCGCGTCTCAAAACGAAGGGAAAAACAGAAGTAATACGGAATAAGTCGAGCAGTAATATTTTAAAGAAGCTGAACTTGATCCTCGGTTGAGGAACCAGTTTCGTTTTAAGTTTCGGCACTTGTAAATATTTTTATAGTACCAATGTGAATATCTGCTTCAGTGGCGTACGCAAGGGAGGGGTTTAGAGGTTTAAACACCCCCCCTTGAGCTCAGACAAAATGGCAAAAATAAAAATTTTAGTAGAAATTGTGCGAACTATTATTTTTTAAGACTATATATTTTTATTTGCCTTATGCCTACTTTTTTTCTCTCATGGTATTTCTCAGAATACTGAAAAAAAAAAAAACATTTACTATAATAGGGTTATACTTTTGAAACCAAATTCACGTGATACTGTTACGGACTGGTTCCTTTCTGTCCTGCCAGTATAGTTTTCGAGACTGGCTGTCATTCGCGAGGTCTTTACGCCATGATTCTGGAATCCTAGACGTTCTGTCGTCTTTGAGACAATTCGAAAATTTTGGAGATGCGGTGAAAAATTATATAAAAGGGGGAACGGAGTACAGTGGAGTTAGTTAGTCAGACTAAGAGTTATCTCTGCCGCTTGTCTTTCGGAGCTTGTCGCTAAATCTGTTTTGATTTATCTCAACAAAAAGTTCATTCAATCGCCGAACCCGTCGTCGCCACTATTTCGACTAGTGAAGAAATCAGTAACAATACCATTGGAGATACAGCGCTCGTTGAAGTTATTCATTCCAGCTCGAAACTTTGAGATCGTAGCATAGCGGATATTTCTTTGCCAATATATTTATATTTGCTGTTCTTGGATCTTTAAGATGTCAAAACGCAAGAATTTAACAATTTTCAATTATTTTGAGAAAAAATCACGATCTGAAATTAGAGAGGTGACAGCATCTAGTACCAATGTAAGTTTTTTGTTGTACAGAAATATGATACTTCCGTTGAAGAAAACGTTTCTAGCATAACAAAATCTGATGAATGTGAAAGTGGCCCTCAAAGTGTTACTTCCCACCCATATGACATTGGACTTTTTTTAGAAGATATTACATTATGTTCTTAAACTTAAAAAATCAAATCAAAATTCAACTAACCAATGTTGTCTAAATAAAAAGTCAAATTTGTCTAGCTGTCTAAATTAGTGAAATAATAGTGCTTTATTAGAGACTCGAATTTCTTTTAGTAGTTTCAGAAAATTATGAACACCCCCCTTGAAAAAATTCTGCGTACGCCACTGATCTGCTTTTTAAACAATCTTATATGTGCTTTGCATGCTTCATCATCATCAAAGGATAAACTAAAGTATAATTAATTTTCTATTTACTCTTATAATAGTCACAACGAGTCCTATTATGCTTTGCTTAGATCTATTATTTTGAGAATAGAACCCAATAAATAATAAGGGAGTATTATTAAAATTATGTGAACAGGTTACGGAAGACTTAGAATACAACTAAAGCAGAGAAAAATGTAATGAAAAATGTACGTTTCATTCTTTTTTGTTTGCTTTAATTACAATTATACAATGATTACAGTAAAAATTTTGTCATCTAATATATATAATTCTCTTACGTGGCTCCCAAATTTTGGCTGTATTTCTTTTCCGCCGGTGGCAACGTTTGCTTTGTTTTGTTTACGTTACTATTTCTCTTACACGGCGAATTGACCAATGATTGCCGCTAAAAAGTCACAGGCCAAATCTAGCTGAGGCGGCTCAACATATAGCGCTTTTAAAAACGGAAACTGAAATAACCAATAACCAGAGAGCATCAACTGCGGCAATATCATACTATTAAGCTAAGCAGAAGTGAGTAGTCTTTGTCGATAGATCTCTATTTTAGTATTTAGTTTTTTCACGAATTTATATAATACGAATTTATTTGACGAATTTTGATTTACATCACGAATTATACTATGGCACATTTCTAATAGGTTTAACGAATTACATGTCATTTATTTGAATTCAAATTTATTTTAATGACTTAGTATTTACTAAAAAGATGTAATTTTTTTTTTTAAAAAAAGTTGTTATATGGATTTGAATGATTGTTTTGAATTCTTAGAATTTTGTGCATTTGCAATGTACCTAAGTTGGTAGCGAGCGAAGCAAACCATATAAGATTGCGTAGCAATTTTCGGGGGTTGGCGAGAGTTAGCGAGCAGGGGGCGCAGCCCGCTAGTATATATTTAATACCCCAGCGGTTATTTAAAGTTATCAAAGTGAATATGAATTAGTCCAGAAGCTGAATATTTCGTTAATTTTTTATTATAACAGTTTGACTGTAACAAGATGCAACTCTTACACAGTAAACTCATCTAGACAGCATAACGAAAATTAGCTTTGTTTTACTTGCAAAGTTCTGAAGATCTCTCTGGAACTATCTCTGAATTCCAGAATCCAACATCCCTTAGCATATTCTTTATATGCAGCATACTTGTGTTTCATAGATAGTTCACTCATACATTAAGTATTTTTGAATACACTGTCGCCATCACCATTCAACTTGACCTTTAACGGGATCAAGAATTCAAATAGACTTCATGAAATTTTAATGCTGGTAATGAAATTTTAAAACTCGGGCAATCGTTAGAGTTTGAAGACGAAGTTGAAGTTGCAAGGGAAAAAAGAAAAATTTAATGATTACACTGTACAGAATGGTTACTCAAATTTCCCGAAACTTTCTTCGTTTTTGGCGAAAACATTTCCTGGTATATGCTCCAAGCGAAGATTTCGACCAATAACGAAGTATAGCTATCGTCACTTTTTCGAGGAAACGAATTTCGTCAATAGTAAGGAAATATTTCGTCATTCTAATCTTTCCAAAAGAAGAAAAAAAAACGTCATTGTGCCTAATGTATCTAACTTTTCTAATAATACTTTATCATGGGCACCATATAGCTGGATCAATTTCGCCTTAACAACCCAAGAAAGACATCCTCTGGGTGAGGTCTTGTAAACCCTAGGAGGAAAGATAGAACAAAGAGATAAATTACATCCATGCCCAAAGTGAGATCCGAACCCAGGATGTTCCTAGTACTGGCCAACTTTTTGACCACCATACAGGTTGCTCAGCTTATTTTGTAACTTTATTTTCGATTTTCTAGTATTTATCCTAGTTTCGTCCTTCTAGTTAACAATTTCCCAAAATACACTACTATGAACTTTTAAGTTGAGGAAATATTTTCGCCTTACATTTGAGAGTTTGCGTTTCGTCACAAATCACGTTATTTTCGTGACTAAATGATTCTCAAAATTAACGAAATACAGCTCAAGAATTACTGAACCATCAAAAGTGAAAATTTTGCTTGTTGCAGATAATTGAAAATGATGCATTTTTTCACAATTTATACAGTCCTACGCAAGATAGAAGTAAATTAAATATTAGTTTAACGAAATTTATTTAGTTTTTAAAAGTTATTAAATTTTACTTTTTATGTAATTATGAAAATAGAAACATAACTTACTGTCCATAACAAAATAAACTGTACTATTCCTGTCAGCGAGTCTGTGTTTTCGATACCAAGGTGGAGGGTGTACTTCAAAACCATGTCTCTCCAGCGTCTTTTGATAGAGTGGCAAATCTCTAGAAACAACATTCTTCTGTCCACGGATGATAGCGATTTTCTTTTGTTGTTTTAAAGCTCTCAAAGATTGTGTTTCGATCTGAAAAATACAACAGACAAGTTAAAGACAATATCTTAACTAAGATAATATCTCAGTTGAGCGATATATACCAATACCTTAACTAAGCCAATATCTTAATTGAGCGACATGTACCAATATCTTAATATGTTAATTAAGAGCCGCGATGGCTCAGGGGATAGAGCGTTCGCCTTCCAATGAGGCGAACCGGGTTCGAATTCTAGCAATGGCTGGCCCATACGACTTCCGCATCCGGCTTGCACCGACCACAGTGGTGACGTGAAATATCCTCAGTAGTAAACGGATCATGGGTTAGAGTTCACTTGTCGTCAGGCTAACCGTGGGGGGTTCTCGTGATCTCCCTCTCTATGTAACGCAAATGCGGGTTAGCTCCATCAAAAAGTCCTCCACGAAGGCAAATTTCTCCCATTACTCGATCCAGGAGCTCCCTTGTTTTCTGGATTAGGTTCAAAATTACAAGGCTACGGAGTTGAACATTAGTAGTCTTAAACCCAAAAATTGGGTCGGCGGTTATAAAATAAAATAAAATATCTTAATTAAAATAGTTGTAAACCCCAAAAAATTGGGTTGGTTTTTCAACGACAGTTATTAAATATTAAATTTAAAAAAAAATCTTAATTTAATTATAGTGCATAACTTAGAGTGCAAATTAAACTGTTAATAATTTGCTTTAATTTTTTTTTTTGCATTTAACATTACCCTGTTTTACATTTAAAATTAACTGATTGGCAAGAATTAAGATTAACTAAATGACAAGAACCTTTCTTAAAACCAAATTGCAAGATTTATATTGCAATCGCCTTTACCATATGCTCTTAAATCTTTTTCAAAAATAAAATAAAAAGAATTACACAAGGGAATCTAAATTAGTACTTAAGCATGGAAAAAAAGAAAAACGTAATGGAAACCTGTCAAATCATTAAAGAGGAAGGAGAGCTCTAAAACATAAAAACCTGTTTGATTGAGGGAAGAAACTATGGTGATTAAAGCAATTAGGATTCTCAGAAACATTTTCAAGCGTCATGCAGCGATCAAGCTGGCTTTGATACTTTGATCTCACCTTCCGCAATAGTGAGACTATGGATTTTGATAACTTATTTAGATTTTTTCCTCGCTTAGCATTCTGCATCCACAACACGTATGGTACTTATTTTTTTTACTTACAAGGATTTCACTTGGAAATTAAAGTATATAACCAAGTATAAAATGTTTTTGATAAATTTTAATGAAAGCAATCACCATGAAATATTAAAATGTTAGTAGATATAGTTATTTTCATTAAAGCCCAATTTATGACTAAAAAAAATAGTTGTTAATTATACCTCTTCTTGTTATAAACATTACAACAACTGCTTCATATGTTTTTAATAGGGTGAGTATAAATATTGATTAACTTAAAATTACCATATATTAATGTACAAGTTTATTGTTTGTGCTTATAGAGCATTATGTCAAGAACAGTTCGCTTGAATTAACAGCTGAACGGAGTACAGCATGATTGTGTTCTTGTTTTAAGTATTTACAACACTTAATATAATAAATGTATAAATATATAATGAAAAATAAATAATTAATTAAGAAATAGATAAATCTATAACGGATTTTTTCGAATGGTTTGAAAATCAATTCTAATTTTCAATCTCTTTTCTCCTTTTTTAATCTAAGTAAAAATAACACAAAAATTGTTTATAATAAGATTATATGTAACAAAATCCTTTTTTCATCATTATGCAAATATTCATATTTCTCAGTTTAACGAAATAAATACATAAAATTCGCTCTAAAACATAAAAAAAAGGATGATTTTATATGTTTTTGAGTAGATATTAAAAAATTCCTAGAAATTGTTTAGGAATATTTTAGAATCTATTCTAAGAATCTAGGAATGAAAGTTTCTCGGAACAGTTTACAAAAAATACCTTTTTGTTTCTTAGTAGTAAAAGATAATAGTATTTCGAAAAAAATAGCAAAATATTTATTAAAAAATAATTGGAAGGTAAATTCATTAACGTGTTTCTCAATTTTTTCTTTAAAAAGCAGCAAAATTATACACACTCACACAAAAAACAAAAGCAAATAATAAATTAAATTTTGAATTAAATTCCTTTTCTGCACTGTAAAAAATGAATCCTCAAATTTCAAGAAACTTTCGTCGTTTTTGATGAAACCATTTCCTGGTTTATGCTCAAAATGAAAATTTCGTCAAAGTAACGTCATTTATTTGAGGAAACGAACTTCGTCAAAATTAAAGAAACATGCTATATGATATTTTTATCTGGGGGGGGGGAGGAGGAGAATTTTTTATTAACTCCTGATGAATAAACTTTTCCTAATAATCACTTTATAGTGGGAACCATATACACTAACCTACAATAATGGAAGATACACTTTTAGTTTTTAATATTTTTCTGAATTTCTCAAGAAATACTTAGAGTACTAATTTTAGAAGTGGTTAGTTTATGCGATTTTTCATGCTTTGCAATAAAGCTTTCGGGGGTTTCAGGGACCAACAACAAATTACAATAGAAAACAAGTATTTTTAAACACGTAACTTTTGCCGATTACTTCGGTTGCTATTCACAATAAGTGAATAAAATATCGTAAATCTAGCTTAAATATTGATGGAGATATGAATATATTAAAAACTAATTTTTTTTGTCTTGTGTTTTTTTACACCGTTTTGTGTTTCTTACCGGATTATAATAACTTTAAAAATATTCAGTTAAATTAAACGAAATTGTTTGGAGGAATTTACAATTAATGATAAAATTATAGTGAATTTGAACACAAAAATGTTTATAAATGCGCAATATATGAAAATTTGAAATATTTCTTTTGTTCTGCGCATACAAGGAGGTAATTTTAGATTATTTTTTCACAATTTCATAACGAATCGTATTTGGCAACCAATGGGAAAATATGATTTAAATATCTTAAAAATGTAAAAAGTTTCAATTTTCTAAGTAGACTTTTGTACTTTTTAAAAGAAAGCTCAAGACGAAAAAAGGTTTTTTACATATTTAATTTTGTCCTCGCTCTCCGATTATTATAAGGTAGATTAGTTTGCAACACTGCATAATAAAATTTGTGAAAACCTCTAATTATTTCGAGTTTTTTTTTCTAAAGTGCTAAAACAACTTAGAAAATTGCTTGAAACTTTTTACGTTTTTAAGAAATTTAAATAAGTTTTTTTCTCCATTAGTTGCCAAAAATACGATTTATAATAAAATAATAAAAATAAATAATTAAAAAATTTTTCTGCTTATGTGCAAAACAAAAGGATTACTTTAAATACTCATCTCTTGGGCAAGTTTTGTGCAAGTTACAAGCTTATTACCTGACTTTCTGGCATAGGGTGTTCACAAATGCGTTTTCTTCCGCAATTTATTGTTGGTCCCTAAAACCCCTGAAAGCTTCAACTTTATTGCAAAGCATGAAAAATCGTATAAACTAACCACTTTTAAATTTACAAAATAGTCCTCTAAGTATTTCTTGAGAAATTCAAAAAAATATCGAAAACTGAAAGTGTGTATGTGGATCAAATTCCCTCAAACAACGTCAGTAGGATAGATGGAACAGATAAATAAATAACACCCATGCCCGAAGTCGGATTCAAACCTGTGATCTCATTGGTAGGAGGCAAAGTTTTCGACCACCACATACAGGCCGATCCGCTCGCTTTGTCTTTTTAATTTCGACTGCGTAGTCTTCATTGTAGTTTCATCATTCTAGTTAACAATCTTCCACAATGCACTACAATGAGATTTCGAGTTGAGGAAACATTATCGCATACATTTGAGAGTTCGCATTTTGTCACAAAATACGTTATTTCTTGACAAAATAATTCTCAAAATTAAAGAAATAGCTCAAGGATTGCTGAATCGTCAAAAATGAGAGTTTCATTTCTGAGAGTGTGTTTTAAATTTGTTTTACAATCCATCCAAAACGTTATGAACCTTTAAATATACAGGGTGTCCCAAAACGACCACATAAACTCTGCACAGCTAGATTCTTCGTTGGGAGTGCATAAAAACTGCCCAAAGAAGCGTTCCTGTACGATCCATAGTTTACGAGAAAAATACGAAAAATAAAGTATGACGTCACTGCCGGTGCAAGAGAAAACACTTTATTGAACATATCAACAGCAGTATACTACGCACAATTTAAAGCAGAATATGCGCGGCGAACGTTTTAAACATTATCGTCTTGAAAGATATGCAAATACTGCTGCAGAGTTTATGCGGTCGTTTTGGGACACCCTGTATTAAAAAAAATTATCATAAAAATATTATTAGTTTTTTTCTCCAATGTCCACCTGGCGAAAGACCTTTCCTCATACAGGCATCTGAAGGGCAGATTTGTTACCCATTCTTTCAAAGCAACATATAAGGTGACCCCATAGTTAGGACAGATAGTACAGAATATGAAAGAACATCCATGCCTTGCCCGGAATTCGAACCCAGAACCTTTATGATGCAAGGCCATTTCCCTGACCCTTACACGGCAAAAATATATTATTAGATGAAAGAAAACATTAAAAAGGCACAATGAATGGAAAAATACTTGTAAAGAAAAATGGCGAGACGAGAAGTTATATAAGAAATATATTTCACTCTTAATACTCGTGAAAATATTATTTAAAAAATAACCTATTTCATGAAAAGTTCTATCTTTTTTATCTCTAATACATGTCATCTGTCTTTGTTTAAAGCTTCGTGGGAATTTAGCTTAAAATGTCAACTCGACCAGTGTCAGATATTTCTTATAAATGTCGAAACAAATGTCAAATCATTATAGAAAAATGCAGCTAAGGCTACCGGATCCAATGCATTCTGATGCGTGTTTAAATACTTTTTTCTATGATGGAAAATATAATTAGTGGTTTTTAAATATGCAAAAAGAAGATGTAACTAATGATCCATGATGAAAAGTATTTAAATGTTTAATTAAAATAAAATACCTTACTATGAGTATTTCAGTTTAATTACATACCACAAACT